CCACTCCTCAGAAGGAAGGTTGGGCAATCTACTTCCGTAGTGATACTGCCTCAGAAACCCAAGGAGGGGTCGCTATGAGTCGGGGCCAACTCCACGGCACCTAACAACAACAACAACAGCCCATCTAGGAGTGAGAGAACAGAACAGCGTCTGCAATACTCTGGGAGTTACATTGTCTTGACAGAGTCTGTTCTTTGTGCTACTGGAGACTGGACACAGTTTCCTGATACCATGAAAGGAGTCTTGCTGGTTAAGCACTTGACCGCTAACTGAAAGGTCAGGGGTTCAAACCCACCAGCCACTCTGCAAGAGGACGATGTCCTAGTCTGCTTTCGTGGAGACTGACAACCTTGGAAAGCCTAGGGGGCAGTCCTGCCCTTTGTACAGGGTCGCTATGAGTTGAAAACAACTCAACAACGCCAGGTTCTAGTGTCTAAATCAACCCTGTGTTCCCCGCCCTTGCATTTCAGTCGGTTGGTTAACTGAGTGTCTCTTGAGGAACCCGTCTGGGATTTAGCGGTGGCCAGTGGCCCCACAGCTCCAGGAAGCCGGGCTGTGAGTGGACCTGCAGCGCCGAGGCGTGTAAGTGCTGTCGGGAGCGTGCTGTGACCGGGGAAAGGGGCCACGAGGGACGACTTCGACCTCATGGGAAACCAGAGGGAAAACAGTGGGTTTAGAAGGCAGTTGGCGGGCAGGGCATGCATTCTCTTTTACTTCTTGGCAATGGATTGAAGGGCGCTGTCAATTTTCCCTTTCGTTTTCTGTTGTCAGGGATGTGGGCTCCTAGAATGGCAGTTATGTCTGTTACCCTGCAGCTGAACTTCTGAGCTCTCTCTGGTCTAAGTGTGTGGATGTGTGTGCGCCCACGTGCTCACACGTGTGGGGGATGAACGTATGTGGGTGCATATGCACCTGCACTCTCGCACGTCGGCGAGGAACACACGTGCATGGGCGTGTGCCCACACACTCACGTGTGAGAGATGAATGTGTGTGCCTGCACACTCACAAGTATGAGAGAGAACTGTGTGCACATGTCTGTGCTCCTGCACGCTCACACATATGGGGATTAATGTGTGTGCACATGTGCGCCTGCATGCTCACACATGTGGGGGTGAACATGTGTGCACGTGTGTGGCACCACGTGTTCATGCATGTGCGGATTGCACATGTGTGCACTTGGGTGTGCCATCGCGCTCACACGTGTGGGGATACACCTGTGTGCACATGTGTGGTCCCACATGCTCACACGTGTGGGGGTGCACGTGGGTACACCCTCACACTCACACGTGTGGGGGACGCACCTGTATGCATGTGTGTGCACACGTGCCCACACACTCCCAGGTCTAGGGGCTGAGCGTGACAGGATTGTTTAGTTCCGACAGACCGCGGGCTGGGACCTGGGAAGCGACATTCCGAGGAGAGACGCCCCTGAGACTGGCGGGTCGGCCGCCGGGCTGCAGTGTGGACGTGCAGCAGCAGTCGAAAGCGGAAGTAGAGGTGCATGTGCTCCGTCTGCAGACCGGCTGGTGGCGGCTGGGTTAGTCAGCGTCTGCCAGTCGCTGCCGCTGTGATAAACTGGATCAAGTCACGGCCGCGTAAAGCAACAGGAGTGCGTCTGTCGGGGTCTGCCAGGGCGTGGTCCACGTGTCCATGTGGCATCATTCCAGGTCCTGGCTTTCTGTCTCAGATGGGCCTCAGGAGCCCTGGTGGCACAGTGATTAAGCACTCAGCTGCTAGCCACAAGGCTGGTGGTTGGAACCCACCACGGGAGAAAGAGCAGGTGACCTGCTGCCATAAAGGTGAGCACCTAGGAAACCCTAGGGGGCGGTCCTACCTCGTCCCCTGTGGTTGATGTGTGTGCAGATGGACTGGGCAGCACCCAGCTGTCATCTTTGTAGGAGCAGGTCACCAGCTCTTTCTCCTGCGGAGTCACTGAGTGGGTTCAAAACGCTGACCTTTCCATTAGCCGTCTAGGGCTGAATTCACCACCTTGCCGCCAGGCCTCCTGTAGCCATATAGACGAGGTGGATGTCCTGGCATCGATTTTCAACAAAACTGGCCCAGTGCACGGCCAAAGAAACACACCTTCAGTCGCTAGGGTAAATCTTTAGTTTAGAAATTCGCTCTGAACACAAAGAGTCACTCATTTTCGGTGGTCCGTCGCCAGGGAAGCTAACTCAGCCGTGCCATTATCCAGAGCCAACAATCAGGAGCCTGTTGAAACTGTAAGCCTTCTGTAAGCTTTAATAGCGATAATGGTGCCCGTGCAGACATCTTGGGTGTGAGTTGTCCTGCTGGGTTAGCACAGTAATCTTGCAGAAACAGTGTACCCACCAAGCTAGCCTGGCAAATGAAAAAAAAAAAAGAAAGAAAAGAAAAGAAACCACTCTTTCCCACGTCTCCTCTAACCGTGGAGACCCACGCTGGGCTGCTTCCTCTCCCCTACCTCCCACCTTGCGTCTCCTGAGCACTTAACTGGAGCCAGTGGATCCAGCAGAAAATCAGCGAGATCTTTGCCAACAATATAAATACACGTGTAAGCCCTTGCGTAAAGATTGCATAACCTTCGCAGGTTCAACCAGGTGCCTTCTAGCCAGCTTACTATCTGCTGATCCTAAAATTCAATTTGTCCCTGATTTGAAATCAGGGGTATTTTCAAAATAGTACGCGTTTGGGTTGTTGTTGTTATGTGCCATCGAGTCAAACCTGACTCATAGCGACCCCTCCTTGGGTTTCCGAGGCAGTATCACTACGGAAGTAGGATTGCCCAACCTTCTTTCCGAAGAGTGGCTGATGGGTTTGAACCGCCAGCCGTCTGGTTAGCAGGCAAGTGTCTTAGCCACTATGCTACCAGAGCTCCCGCACGCATTTGCGTTAGCTACGGAAAAAGTCTTTGCTCTCCTGAGAAGGACACAAACCCAGATGTGCTTCAGATGCGCCAGCTCAGAGGACAGATTGTCCAGCAGCTCTAGAACACTTGTTTGTTTTCAAATAAAAATAAAAGGGATGTGAGAAGCAGCCTTCGGGCCTGGGTGACACATTTGCTGAGCTTAGTACAGTTCCTCACTTGTCTGTTGGAAGGAGTCCTGGTGGCACAACAGTTAAGTGCTCGGCTGCTAACCAAAAGTATTCAAACCCACCCAGCAGCTGCAGTGTAGGAAGGCCTGGCAGTCAGCTTCTGTGAAAACTGACAGCCTTGGAAACTCTATGCTGCAATTCCACTGTGTCCTTCAGGGGCGCTGTGAGAATCACTCGATGGCAGTGGGTGTGGTTTGGGCTTTGCTTCTGTGAAGATTGACAGCCTTGGAAACCCTGTGGTGCAGTTCCACTCTGTCCTCTAGGGGCGCTGTGGGTCAGAATCACTCCATGGCAGTGGGTGTGGTTTGG